AGTGAATTCAAAAAGCATTAACGTACAATGCGCACAAACCTTTTGTTTAAAATCCTGAATAGAGTTGCTGACTTCAACATCTACAGATGTTTCAAGATCATCCATGAAAGCAGAACTACCAGTTCGAGGGATCATATAATTTTCAGCACTTTCTATCAATGACCATGAAGCATCTTTCATTTCATCCAGCTTCTTACCATTTACGCACCCAGAAACACATCCACTTTTCCCTCCACTATCGCAGCGACGTGCACCACAAATTGCAAGACTTTTTACCAGATCCCATCTGACAGCAACATTTTTACTAACAAATTTACGAAGAGAATGCAATGCAAAAACTTTATAACTAATACTTTAATCTTACTCTTGAAGTTTAGATGCAAGATGTCGCGGTGTTTCACCATGTTTATTCTTTACATTTGGATCAGCACCTAGGCACAGAAGTAAACGAGTCATTAATAAATCTCTTCTTGAAACAGATAAATGAAGCGCGGTATCACCACTTTGATCTGACACATTCAAGTCGCAGTTATAAGACGACAAAGTCATGACCATACCTAAGAATTATTTTTCAATTAACCAAGATGGCATATTCCTAGCATAATTTCCCAAATAGTAAAAAATGGAGAATTACGCTCTACTCTTCGTAGAAGTAAATACAACCTATATTATGGGAGACTAAACAAAAGAAAAGACAGCTGATTACGAGAACGACTAACCAACATCACCCCTACTGACGTACATATGAATAGGCGCCTGTCCAGCATTGTTTCGAGCATTCAGATCAAGTTCCTTGTGTTTAAGGGATAGTAAGCCCATTAGCGGTGTCTTAAATTGTGCTGCGTGTAATACCGTATTCCCCGTGGCTGGGTCTTTTTCATGCAGCAATTTGGGAGAAGCTTCCAGTAATGTCCGAATTACTTCCGTTGATTTGCCTTTACTTTGCATAGCTTCAAAGAGTGGAGATCGTCCAGCAACACGAATATTGACCTCGGCACCATGTGAGATTAATGTTGATACAATTCGTGGATTAGCATTCCGAATTGCAATCAGCACAGGAGTATATCCATCATGATTGGTTGTATTCAAAAGAGGATGTGTTTTTTCAAATTCCCAAAGCAATTCCAACATAGTCACCGAAGCCAAGGCTGCATAATGTAATGAATTATTCCCTTTAATGTCTCGTGCTGTCGGATCGGCACCAAGTTCTAGAAGTCTTCGAACGATTTCCAAGCGATGCATTTCTATCGCAAGCATCAGTGGGTAACGACCTTCCGGCTGAGCAGTTACTTGAAGCATTCTGGAAAATTTTTGGTTTTAAAATTGTTCCACAACTGAAATAAGTGAAAAACGATTTCAAAAAGAAGGAGTCTGCAGCGTGCATCCACCAAACAGTTTTCTGTACATATATCTGAAGCGACTTACACATCAAATAAATCCTCATTTGTTGCCTGAAACCTTTTAATGCTTTCATTTGTAAAAAAATCGACCCGATTTGTCGCGATTGCAATTGGAACAATTAGCCAAAGCGGATGAGCACGCAGCGCTGTTACCAAATCTCGTACTAGTCTTCGATTATCATTTTGCATGTCTGTAAAGAAGTTAACAATTCACCATAAAGAAATACAAAAGACAAAGTTCTATGACAAACAAATATTCAAGAAAAGCATATCGGAGAGTAAAATATACTTACCAAGCAACATAAACAATGCCTCACAATCATAGCACCGATTACATAAATCGATAGCTTCTTGAATTTCATGGGTACGGAATATGCTTACAGTAACAAGCAATTCGACCTCTTCTCGTCTGTTATCGTTCTTTTCTTCATTTTCTTTCGAAAACAGTACATGGAACAGTGGTGCCGCAGGTCGATTTTTCAGTGTACCTTGCACCACGCGTAATCCTTTTCTGCTGTTACTGTGAGGATAGACGGAATTATGAGCTCGTAACAACTCCACCGGAAATGGCACTACCTGCATAACAGAATCAGTTAAATATGTAATCTTCTATCCAGTGAAACCAATAGTTTACATATAATAATGTCGTATGTAAACAGTAAGAAATGGAATACTTCATAACAATCAGAAGGTATCCAGTAATCTTCACCAAAAACGCGTTCTCGTGCGCTTGACCAGAGCTCACCAAGTTTATGTGAAACTTGAGCTAATGAAAACAAACTGAAAAACTTAAGAGTTTGTAAAAGGGGAAAAACTGTGATGGAATCTCTTGACTTCTGCCTACACAGAGATTACATTAATGATGTCCACTACAGCTTGATGAAGATTGATTTAGTTGTTTTATTCTAAAACACCAATACACATTGCAGCATAACAAAGTTCTCCATATACCCACAAGAATCTGACCTTGGTTTGACCGAGGTTTTCCTGACTGTTGGTGATGGTGGTGGTGTAGGAACGCCTTCCTCAGATGCTAGAGCAGCTGATGGAATACTTCCCATCTCTGATAAAACAGCCGTCGCTGTTGTTTCAGTATTCGTTCGAGCTTCATCAATTTCTCGTGACGAAGACAACTTCAGAGACGATTTGCTGATTGTTGTTGTTAAGTCACTGTACAACAAAGAAGCGGTACCAATTTGCTCATCATTTATTTTAACTGTTTTTTCACTCTCAGTTTTATTATCATCAGCATCAGTTATCTGAGAATTAATGTCCACAGTTATGGCTTCTAATGTTGATGTATTTAAATCGGTCATTGAGTATACACCCGTCTATTGCCTTCTTCGCTCCTTAATATTCATTATGATTGCTTTCACCTTTAAAAACACTGATTATATATATTAATAAGGACAAATTATATCACACTTCATTCGATAACAGCACATTTACCGCTCGTAAGGCATAAAACGCTGAGATGATTCCTTCGTGATTGTAGCTCTTCATACATTATATACTTTATGGAAATTTTCGGTAACTGCAACAGCTGACGATATATAACCATACTTCTTAATTATATATAGTATTATTCAGCTCAGTGAATATCGACCCATAAAAACTGTGCATAGGATTTAATGCCCAAAATACATGAGTTTAACATAAAATGTAGCATCATTTTAATTTATCCTGAGAATAACATACTCAGCAAATAAATCGTTTGCAAACTAAAGTACTCGACGAATAAGGTTTGTCCTTTCGTTTTTCATCTTTTATCTGATGGGAATTTGAATATTTCGCCGAAACTTGGTATCAGTCCTTCACTAACAAAAGCAACGTCTAAGATCCATTCAAAGGAACAACAGAGACCTTAATAATTTAGACACTTCGAAATGCAATATTATACAACTTGTATCTCAACCCACCCTCTACATTCCAGCAGGAAATACATAATTTTCTCATACTAATTTTCCACTGATACTATACCATCTACTTCCTTGCAACCTTCCTCCAGTAATTGTAGCAGTGCTTTTAATCATAGCAGACTCTGGCATAAGTTAGGAAGGGTCACCCCATGCAATTTTGTGTCCCAAATGGAAACTCCCTATTAACAAGGGGCAGCTGCGAGAGGAGAGGAAGTAGTGAAGCGACAGATGTCACCACTGGGAGCTAATAGAGAAGAGATCTAGAACGGAGTAGATCTAATACATCACTACCATGTATAATAGCTATTCATCCTCTCTCTTGAAAGTTTTAATTCTCATCATAGAAGCGAAACACTGATAGCCTCATGAACTGCCTTGTGTGAATTTACCTCACAGTCAGAGAACTAAGCTGAATCTGTCGTTGTTTCGGTTTGGCTACAAATGCTCTCATAGCTGACCAATACAAGCTGAGTTCCAATCACTAGTTCTTTGGATTTCAATGGGTTAATTGAAATCCTCTTTCATTTTGATTGCGTTCTCCGTGAAATTTATACTGCAGTGAAACGTGAAACCACTTATTAAAGTTTTCAACACGCAAAAGATTTTCTCTGATAGTTTTTGTTTGACAGTGTCCCATTTATAGTGGGCATAAACTATAATATATTTCAAAACATTGTCTTTTTGATTTCATTTCTTCATTAAGTAGCGCAACCATTTCCATAACAGATTGTCTTATATGAAGTGATAAGGATGTCCATTTAGTGATTTTTGAGCTTCAAAAGTCCGAAACTTAAATTATAGTACCTCACTGAATTAAAAATAATGGTATTCAAGGGTCTGCAAAAGACTACAGTAATTGGAAACTGTCATTTGTTCAGAACTGTTTCAGATTTACTCACATAATGTGTTCCCATGGTAATGATAAACGCTTGCTCTCCTGATGCAACAACACTCATCCATTTTATGGCGTTATTTTGCTAAAATTTCCTATTAATTAGTCATTTATAAAATTAGGAAGACAGTAATCTCGCAGCACTGTTCCCAAAAAATATAGTTTGAAAATTGAGCTTGTGTCCCCTTCTCCTTTTTCTTTACTCTTCTACATGCTGAAGCTATGAATATTTTTCTCCATTTTTCCCAATGGATTCTGCAGGACTGCTAAAGAAGCTGTAAGCGGGTTGTATTGGTGGTAGTGCAGACAACATCTGATACTTTTAAAAAACATAAGGTTAGGAAAATCATTTTAATCATGAGGCATCTAAATGAAGAAGTCCCAGTACTTTATATTGATTGCTTGCGCATACTAGGCTTGCGTCCCTCTTCTTCTCTTTCTTCCTTTCTATGTGTGTGTGTGTTTCTGTGTTTGTGGACTCATTATATGTCCCAGTGTCCAGTGATTTCAACAAGGTTCTTTTTTCAGGAGCCTATCTATGTATTTGTCATTTGTATGCTTTATTATTGCTAAGCTTAGTTACAACTATTACCCAGTCCCAGTACTTTATTGTCCGCGTGTGATTGGGTTTAAATAATTTTCTGACTAACTGAGATTAATATTTTTCCTCGAAAATCATACTGAATTTTATAGACAATTTTTGAAATGTATCTATTATGTGATCAGATTACTATACACAGTCATTACTGAGAGACTTTCATTCTGGAACTTTCGTTCAGGTTTTATACAATGGACCGTCGAGGAGGATTTCAGGGTGGTTTCGGCAGCGTCAACACCGGTAGTTTTGATGAAAGATGGTCCAGGTATTTAAACTAAACTACTTCTCAACGAGAAAGAAATACTCAAGCTACATTTGTTGCAAACTTTAAAAGCAAAATTTTCACTCTCTGAGTCAGTTTGCACCTTATCTGGCCCACTAAAAAGTTTTTTTGAAATTGAATTCTCCCATGTTCTTTCCACCAGAATTTGCCTTCGCACTCCAAAATGTAAAGCTATGGAATCTATTCTGCATTAGTAAAATAAAAACTGATTTCAACATTATGTAATCTTTGAAATGAGTTTTTATTTATTATTTGTTATTCATCTAAACCGGAAAATTAATGTATTTTATTTTTTATTTAATAGTTAAACTAGCGACAGAAATAAGGTTAGCTCTTTCTCTTTTAGAATTCCAATTTTCTAAATTGAGAAACCTTGCAGTTCAGCGAGAAATCAAGGTGCTGGACCACGGCGAATAGGTAGTGGTTTACGCCGTATAACAATTGATTGGGATAAGCCATGGATTCCGGTAACAAAGCTTGGCCGTTTGGTAAAAGATGGACGAGTAGCTACAATAGAAGAGATCTACCATAGATCGATACCCATCCTAGTTGGTCACCTTGTCATTGTCACTCAATAATAGCCTCATGATTAGTGCAAAACTTGGAGGAAAATAAAGGAAGAATTGAAAGGAACCTGCATATAGATGAAACATAACACAGAAATCAAAGGGAAACAGGCTGGGTTGGGTAATAACAAACAAAGCGCTGACACTTCTAAAGGTAACCGAGTCTCGTGGTAAAAGGGGTTGAAAAGTTTACTGCCAGAATACGTTAGCGCTATGAAACAGAAAGACTGGAAAATTTTGGTCTTAAATTTGGTACGGCATTTGAAATAATTGATGATATGCTTGACTATACTGTTGACCTGACTGTACTGACATGTGTTAAGTAACAAACATCATTGCAAGAACAAACGCGAGCAACCCCGTAAAATCAATCCTGCCAATATCAACATAAACTAAATTTTCATCTTACCTTTCGATTTAGGGTTTCTTGTAAGACCAGTTAGCATAGTAGAAAATATATTTGCTACATGAAGACCTGCCTCGAGCATGCCAAGTACGCATAAACCAATCGCTATAAACTTTAAAGCTGCTAAATCCATATATCACCTTTAACTATTTCTTCAATGTATTAATCATATTCTAGAGAAAAGTCAATTACTTTACTGCATCTGATAAATATATTGCAGGAATATCAATTTTCTGAATCCAAGGTTATGTTTCCTTTCACAGTTTTGAAATTTATGTAGTCTGTTGAGCCAGTTATATATAATCGTCGGTAATCTTTAAAAAAAAAAAACTCTCTAACGAAAGAAACGATTATTTAATTCTTTTCGAATTGATGGATCCTACTCAAAGCTGCGCCAATTGAAATTTAATGAAAGAGAAAGGAATAAAAGAATTGCAGGAATATCAAATTGTGGATCTATTAGTACCAAATCTGAAGGAGCAGGTATTGAAGATTCTTCCGGTACAAAAGGAAGTTCGAAGTGGGTTGCGCACTCGATTTCGAGCGTTTGTTGCTATTGGTGACAAGAATGGGCACGTGGGTCTTGGGATGCAGTGTGCAAAACGTGTCAGCACCGCGATCAGACTTGCAATTTATCGTGCAAAGACAGCAGTGGTGCCTGTACGACGAGCCTATTGGCACACGGAACATGGCTTACCTCATACTATACCCTGCAAGGTACTTACTATGCCTGTTTTCCTTGCAATCTAAACAGCCTACTGTTACTGATTTTTCAACGTTACTACCCTATAACAAACTTATCTTCAGGATTTTGAAATGAAATAATGGAATGTAGTAAAAGTTAAAATCTTAGAAATTTTAATTGGATGAAAGCTTGTTTAGATAATGGTTCGTTACTGTGATGTTCGAGTAACACTTTATCCAGCTCCACGCGGTACTGGTGTTAGTGCACCACCTATAGTACAAAAGTTGCTGCACTTAGGTGGCATCCAAGATTGTTATACATCAACATCCAGCTACAGAACATTAGGCCCAGTTGCAAAGGCTGCATTTCTGGCTATTCAACGTGCTTATTTGTTCGAATCGAAGAGTGAGAAAATTGATGAAAACAGTGCTTTTCCGGAGTTGTTACCATTGGTTAACTCATCATAATACTCGCTGTCCGAAACATATGGTTGAGAAATTGAGTTTATTCCGGAGTTATTTAGATCATTGTATATTTAGTAAGTAGAAAAGAAATTTTTTTTTAGTTGTGATGTTGACTTTTTTACTGCTTTTGGAATACAGTTTTTGAATTAGTTCGTCATAGCTTTCTTTTTTATTTAGTTAATCATACCGCTGTATTTCTTCCATACTTCAAGTTGCTTCAAATAATTTCTTTAACCCGCTCATTCTGATTTCCTAATTTACATCAAATTCTACTTGTCATTTGTTGAAAATATTCTGCCCTATTTCAATTCGAAATGCAAATCTAGAAATTTAAATCTTTTTGTTGTCCGGGTCTAGAATCATTTTTTTTTTCTTGATGAGCACGAAGCTATTTTTAGAATGTTGATTTTTATGTACTTCATTTATCGTTTTTTGAACTAAAAAAATTTTATTGCGTTTTTGTGTTTGATACATGAAATAAAATTTTCTTTTGGAACATTTCTTTGCGTCGTTGAATCGGACACTTTATGCCAAGCTATTTGCTTATCTCACTGCATCACCAAATATTTGTTAGAACTTATTGGATTTACATACTTCATCTACGTCTAAAATAAAATATTTTGGGACCAGTGCAATAACTGGTAATAGATAGAGCGAAAGACTAACCCAGTGTTTCAGTTATCCTATCTTGAATAACTTCTCATTTTAAAACCTAACTTTACCTTTACCGAAAGATACTGAACCTTCCTTTATAGATAATGAAATGCTCATTGCATATTAAAGTTTGATTTAAGAATACTGGTCATGTCACTAAATCAACGTTATTATTATTACAATTCCTGTTTGTCTGTATTATATTTCTAGGATAATGCAAGTTTTTCGGAGTTTTTTTGCACCAGCTAATGCAAATTTCTTTTTGGATTTGATGTGTTTTTATATTTAATGCTTCTATTTTTCCACAGTTTTCTGAATGACCAATCGTGTACGATCTTTGGCAACTCGGGTAACTGAAAGTCTGACAACAGTTCAAGCAATTTCGTCATCTGTTGCAACTGTAATTGTCGAGTTTCCTATGTTTGATATTTTATTACTTAAATTTAGTCGTAATTCTAATTCGAGACTTAACGCAGTTAGAAAAGCTAAACAATATTATCAAGAAAAAAATGGTTTGCCAGGATAATGATAAGAAGATGATTGTTGAGGACTCTTCCTTGAAACGAATCGAATCATTCACGTCACATATACATCACTTTACTATCACATCGTCTACTAAAGATCACTCTCTAGATGAAAACGGTAGGCATCTATCTCTTAATGTCATCATAGTTATCAATCATTCAATGCTACTTTATTTCTTTCAATGAGGATATCTATAAAAAAGCACAAATGGATATATTTTCGAACTGAATAATTCAGAAAATGTGCATTTGCCTCGTGCAAAGCGCTATTGCCTTCAGAGTGATGCAGTGATCTAACCAGATAACACTGATAATCATGACAATATCAGTAGTTTTTACCAACATTAAGCATTATTATTATATTTAAAATTACCAGTATTTGAAAAATGCCGCTCAAGTTTAAGCTCATTTTCACTACTAATCAGAATATGTTTGATTTTCCAAAATTCATCATCCTTGACATTTTGAATATCTAAGCATTGTTTTCGTGAATGTTAAAAAGTTTCTTTTCTGATAACACAAAATGGAATTTTCGTTTAACTTTCTACATTAAGATTGCAGTTTCAAGTCCGGAAAGTCCAGAATCAGGTAATATTGAGGATGGTGCCCTGGAGGAGAGCATAGCGCTTACCAGTGAAGCTGCAACGAACCAGTATTTTACATATGACGTTAAACATTCACAGCTCAGGTCAGTCTACACATTATTCACAAATTTTTTGGAACAGAACTGAAAATAATCATATTTAATTTAGAATATCGGAATTAAATGAGATTTTTTACAAAATCTTTAACACAATAACAGTGATCCAAAAAAAAGGAGTTTCACGCTTTATTTTACGCCTTTTTTTCCAGAACCAAAATTAATTTTTCGTAATCAAGAATGAGAAAATCAAAGAAACGGTTGCCAAAGTTATTAGCAAGAACAATAAGACAACTTATCTCTCCTCACTTTTATCCCAGCTTATTGTTACCGTTGTTTCGCTCCACTCAGCAAGTTTTTTAGAATAACAGTACTTGGTCCCGGTGGAGTTATTATCCCGGAAGTGGATCGACTAAAGTATTTGATACCTGATGGAACAGTTACTGTGATGTGTTTAACTTGGAATGTAGCCTCAAGGGTTATTACAGTTTTCTTTTTTCATTGAATTTATAAATTTCTCTGCAACTTTAATAAATCCGAATTATTTCGAGTTATGAAGAGTTTCTTATATTTTATATAATCTTAAACCCTGATAATTTATGCGTTAGATAAACAATTTTTTTTAGTCACAGAATCATTTGTCGAAAATTGGGAAATTGATTACAAATAAACGACCTGCAGATAGAGCTGATCTGATTTGCTTATGTTTTCAAGAGCTTCCATCAATAAATGCGTTAGTTTTTTTTTTTTTCCAGCTTCTTGTATCATTGGTTTTTTAGTTTTAAAAACAAAAAAGCGGAAAAAACTGGAACAAACTTTTAAATTTTAGATATTATCATCAAGAAACAGTAAAATCGTTGGCCGAAGTTGTTGCAGACACACATCTGATATTTTGTTGGGTACGGAAGTGGTCGCAAATGGTGATTGTTTTTATTCGAGAGCCTTTGATTGCATACACTTCAAGTTTGTCATTTTATTTTATCTGTTAGTGAAATACTCCAGAACACTTTGCATTTTGAAAATCTAAAACTTAATGGAACCTGAAATATGATTTAAATTCGAAATTTTCAAGGATCTTAACTGATTTATACAATTGTTCGGATATAAGTCAGCCACTTCCAAGTTTCATTTACTTATTTGCCTCTGGAATTCAACCTTATTTTACAGCTCCAGAATGGCAGTTCATTTCCTGTAGTCCAATTGTTAAGCCGGTTCGAACGAAAGGAGCGATTGCCGTTTTCTTTCGGATTTTCCAAGCATCAGTTATTTTTGTAACCTGTCACATGACTCGTCAGTTTTGTTTATAATACTTATTAGTGAGCAAAAATAAGCAAATTAGAAATTAAGCACACAGTTTATTGGATCAGTTCATGGATCAAAAGCAGGATTAAATATATTGGATCAGGATTAAATATGTTGGATAAATTGGAGGATGGTTTGAACGGTGTTTTCATAGCATAACTCCATATTGGTCGGTTCAGTTAGGATTAATCCTCATCTGTTTGTCAGTATTATAGTATAAAGATTTAGAATTATTTCAGATGGACCAGTGTTAAATCGTATATGTGATTACTCCAAAATCTGTGATTCGCTGCGATTTTCAGCGCTGCCTTGTTCAGGAGTGAAACAAGCTGATTGTGTAAGTATCGATAATATCTTTTTATTTTATGTTAATACCAACTGAATTATTATTTTGCAATTTATGTTCTGTTTGATCATTTCAGAAGAAAGAGAGAAAAAGAGGAGTGTCATTTTGTTGCTTGAGGGAACCGTGTTCATATAGAATTATCGTTGAAATTCAAATTCTCACAGGTTTTCTGGTTTGGTGATTTGAATTTTCGGCTTCGAAGTAGGGAGCGAATTGATGCATTGGATTCACAAAACAAAAAGCAACAAAATATGGCAGATTCCTTCTTCGATCAATTACTCATTGACGATGAGTTGACACTGGAGAGGTGTAAAGGTTTGTTTCTGAATCGTTTATTTTCCAAAAAATCTTCATTAAGATTAATTGTTCAGGTTTTCAAGAGGTTTTAAGCAATACATTCTATTTTCAGGTAATATTTTTGAAGGTTTTAGTGAGGCTTATATTAAGTTCCCACCAACGCATAAGTTTATTCTTGGTACCAACAATTATGTTAACGATCGGATTCCATCATATACGGTATGATTTTAGGCGCATTGAACGATACGAACTTATTTCACTGCTTCATTTTATATAAGCTGTCAATTTTTAGGATCGAATTTTGTATTATGCAAAAGAGTCAAGTCGGATAAGACCTGCAAAATATGATTGCTTATGGGAAGAAAATGCTTCTGATCACAAACCCGTTTATGGCTTTTTCACTGTGCGTGTTTTGGAACAACGCTATTAATGACTAATGTGATGCAAATACAATAAACACTTGTGAAACAATGATATTGCATTCTTCTAAGCGCAATATTTTCTTAACTGACTTCAATATTAAAACTCCCGGATATTCATTACTTTCATTAGTCTAAGGCGTTGTAGCATCTTATTTATTGTTGTAAAATTATAAATGTTAATGGAGAGTAATTTCAATTGTTAAGAGGTTGGTAAACTGATTTCAAAGAAATATCATTCCCCACATAAATAATGAGCAACTTAAAGTCAAAATTCAGGATTTGTTCTAATTTTTGATAAGAAAGTAGAGATCAGTTTTGGAGTAACGAATCATAAAAGAAATACAGATCAGATCAGTAGATCAGTAAAGAAACACAGGTCAAAAAAAAGACCAAAAGATCATAAGGAAATAGATCAGTTTTTAGATCAGTTAAAAAAGAAATACAAATTAAAGAGGTCGGGTTTTTTTTGGAGTAATCAATCACAAAAAAAAGAAAAAAAAAACATATAAAAAATTGATTTAAGAAATGCTTTTGCAATAACATATTTCCATACAATATATGGTTTTATAAATTTATCTGAACATATCAACATAGAAACCTAAATTCATACAAAGACATTAAATTTTTTACAAATTGGATAAAATTTGCAATAAAAGATTTTCGAAAACGACAACAAAATCTCAAATGCTTTGCACGTCCTGAAGTATACTGTTAATAGCAGTAAAGGATCAAACGAAAGCAATAACTTTTTCAATTTTTGTTTCCAAAAACGTACGAATAATAGCAGTATCCACTTATCAGACTCTCATATTGTCCGGCCATTTCAACTGATTAATACCAAACTCTCCTTCACATCTGTTATCTTTTCTCTTCTCCTTATTAATGATTGCTTAAGTTACTATTGTTTTTATTCATTTTTTTATTATCATTTATTATTTTAAGAATAATTAAAACAATTAATATCGTCACAATAATTACACAGATTGAATTCCTTTTTTATTTGTTCAACAAATTTTTCTCCTTCTTCAGAAATTTCGTGCCAAAAAGATTCACTTGATGTGGTATTGAATTGATTGTTTCATAGCTGTGAGCTAGGATTTCTAATTCAACGTTAATTCTTTCAATTTCAAAATTGCTTATTAAACTCCCTCTGAATTCGATATTTTTGATTGCTAGTCGTTCACATTTACAAGGAGTTACCGTCAAATTTCCATCAATTCTTTTAGCTATCACATCGTTTCATTGAAGCATTAATTTCGCGGCAAGGGTATGATTGCTAATTGATAACCAGTTTGATCAATAGTAACATTTCTTTGATGCGTTTCTTTGAGTTGTTGAAGAAATTCTTGTCTTAGTGAATCAGAAAGGTATTGAAGTTTTACGTTTTCAGGATCGAACTTTTTGTCAGGAGACTTTTCCATCATCAATAGTTTATTCATTACTCGTCGTTTGAATTTTTTAGTAGAGTTCGAGTCATCTTTAACATCTACCTCAATAACTTTTTTGGTGTTTAATATATGGAGGTTTTCATTAATTATAAGCGATGCTTGTAGCTCGTCGATGATGAAGTGTTTGTTATACTTCGTAGCCTTAAATCTTCCGATCTTTTGATATAAACAATGATTGGTCGTATCATTTCTATTCCATATGATAATGCTAGTATTTGTTATACATTCCCCCTTTTGTGTCAAACAATCCTTTATATCGTCAAGGTTAGAGACTAATCCTTTTCCATCGTATAGGAGAATTTCTGCTTGGGTTAATATGAAATTTGATGTTGATTGACAGTTAACTCCTAACCATCCATAGGTGTATTGTATTTCCTTATTCGTTATCCATTGATTAGGAGAAGACTGAATTAGTCCAATTCCGTTCATTTGTTTTCGAACATTTAAATATCTGCAGAATTGTGAGGAAGTTGCGGTAGTAGACGTATGGTCTGATACTACCGATAGCGATATTCTGAGAAAAGCTTTCGTGCAAACAGTCCGTGTAATGTTGCTACATTTTATAGCTGGTATTCTTACATGGGTGCGTGTGTACACATCCACTTTGTGATATGTAGCATTTTTGTTAATAATTTCTTCACAATTCCAATTTTCAGGAATATTAAAGGATACTCCTGAAATCCAATTGCAGCTGTTGTTAGCTAATACCTGTCATGATATTAATAACATCATCGTTATCAATGATAAAATGTTTGTCAAAAGATTAGACTTGTCTTTTGCATAGACTGTAGTTTGTGAATTTTTAGCACTTCTGGTTCGTCGAGCAATGGGTTCTTCTGGTTCATCTTCCACCTTTTCTTCTTTATCTTCAGTAGCATCTATTTCCATAAGATAAAGCATATTTATTGATCGATCGAATTGTTTTCCATCCGGTAATTGTATTGTTGCACTCCTTATTTTTCCATCCCATCCTCGATTAATTTTTATTATCTTTGCCAATTTCCATACACCACGAGGTATTTCTGTTTCATTTAGTAATACTATCTCATTTTCATGTGGTACTCTTCTTTCTACTATTCTAGGTGATTTTAATTCTCTTTGTGTGCATTCTCTAAGACTTGTAAGATATTCTTCTTTCCACAACTTCCAAAAGACATCTAATGTATTAAGAGTGGTAGTCCAATACTTGACTAATTTATCTTTAGTCTTTATTGTATAAGGGGTATATTCATCTTGATCACTATCATAATTTATTGGTAGATCTAATGAAGCCATGGGTGATATAAAATCAACTGGACGAATGATTCTGTAGTCGTCAAACCCTACATAAGTTAATGGACAGGTATTGAGGATTCCTTCTATTTCAACTATTAATGTTATTAATTCTCCTTCCTTTAGAAGTTTTCTTCCTTTCTCTTCTTAATGCCTTTTTTGTGAGTCCTATTAGTCTTTCATATACACCACCACCCCATGGTGCTCTTGGTATAGTATTTTTCCATACCATACTCTTTGTCGCCAAAAAATTAACGTTTTCTTCCATAATGGCTTTGAATACCAGTTGAAATTGGCTTGCATTATCGCTTAATATTAATTTTGGATATCCACGTCGAGCGATAAATCTTCTTAAAACACATAAAAAATTCTCGGCAGATAAATTCTTCGCCATTTCTAGATGCACCGCTCTGGTAGTGAAGCACGTAAAAAGTGCTATCCATCTTTTGACTAGACCAGTATTAGATTTGACTGAAAGAGGACCCATATAATCAAGGCCGACTTGTTCGAAGGTTCTGGATCGTTTTACTCGTGTTTCTGGTAACTTGGTATCGCTAGCAGTTTAAACGGTTTAGCTTTCCAGCGAATGCAATAACAGCATAGGTTTATGATTCGTTTTACAGCAGCTCTTCCTTTCGGTATCCAATATTTTCGACTTAGATTCAGATAACGTATGTGCAATACCTACGTGTTATAATTCATTATGCTTGTGTAAAATAATAAGATCAGTAATATAATTATGATCCGGTAAATATATGGGATATTTGCTTTCGTCTGTTAATTCTGAATTTTCTAGTCGGTCTATTAATTTCCATAAATTATCACTTTCATTTAGGTATAGATTCCATTTTTCCTTTTCGTCCTCCGTTAGCATTTGTGATTGGGCCTGTTTGATCAGTATAGTCTCTGCTATATCGTAATCAACTTTAGTCATATATTTCTTTTTTACGGATAATGGTTCTAGCCACACTAATTTCTTTTTGCAGGTTTGTTTAATAAATCTAAAAGTCCAAACAGTTACTCGAATTAGTTTTGTCCAACTGCTGAAGCGACATTCGCCAATAAATTCAATTGTATCCCTTTTAAAAGTTTGGGTTATCTTTGTCAAATTCAAAGCAATAGCTTCTGCAAATTCATCGTTTCCTGAATAGCGAAGTTTACACTTTGGCCATTCAGATTTCTTGAGTTCCAACCATCGAGGTCCTTTCCACCATTGTTTACAATTTTGGAGTTTAAGTGGTGATACTCCTTTGGTGGCTATATCTGCTGGATTTTGATCACTTGGTATGTATTTTAATTCGAAGTTAGATTTCCTTATTTCTTCGATGCGATTTTGTATAAATCTGGGAAGCAGCTTTGTATAATTCTGGATCCAGTAAAGAACACATTTTGAATCAGTCCACAAAGTAACTTGATTATTTTCAAGATTTAATTGTTTCAATACGAACTGAGCTGCTCTTACTCCAATTAGTACAGATAATAATTCAAGTCTAGGAATTGACATACCTTTAATTGGAGCAATTCGAGATTTAGCATAAATTAAAAATGAATTCGAATATGTGTTTTGATATCCATGATTGAGAATATAAATAGCTGCAGAATAGGCAACTTTCGAAGCGTCAGTAAATATATGGAATTCTGTTAATTGTGAAGTTTCCATTATAAATCTTGGCAGCTCTATTATATTTGTTGACCATTCTTTGATGAGATTTATCTCAACAAAGAAAAAATTTTTTTGCTCGTCCTGTTTGTTTAAAGATTGGTCCCAAGGAATATTTTCCTTCCATAAATGTTGTATGAATAATTTAAGTTTGATCATTATAGGAACGAGAAGACCCAATGGATCGTATTGAGAGGCTATGAATTATAGGATAGTCCTCTTTGTTAAACTTTTTCCTATCCATGGTTTCAGTGTCACACGGATAATATCTCGTTCATGGTTCCATTTAACACCAAGAAAATTTTCCTGGTTTGTTTGGCTTAGGTCGCATTCAGGTATTCTTTCATTAAATTCTTCGTCATTTGAAAGAAATTTTCTTATGTTCATCGATGTTTCACCAAAAATTTCTTTCGTTCTTTCATATTTATATAAGGCCTCTTCTGTTCCATTAGCTGATATAATAACGTTGTCCACGTATAAGTTCTTTCTTATCTCCCATGCCAATTCATTACCATGATTTTCTAGGTGATAATTTAATGTTGCTGGTAATAAGAAAGGTGAGGATATTACTCCAAAAGGAACTCTCTTAAATCGGTAACGTTTTATATTTTCATTGGTTAGTTCCTTATCAATATCATCTAACCAAAGAAAACGTGTACAATTTCTTTCCTCATTTTGTAGTTCTAGTTGTAAAAATGCCTTTTCGATATCAGCGGTTATTACTATTCTCATCATCCGAAAACGTAATATTACTCCAACTAAATCCGGTAACATTACTGGACCTCGATATAGTACTTCATTTAAGCTTTTAAAACCTTTGTGATGTGCTGAGGCATCATATACTATTCTTAATTTAGTTGTTGATTTACTAGGAGTTAATACTTCATGATGTGGTAAGTAATGAATAACGCCTACCTCATCCTTTGGAGGTACTACTTCAATTATACCCGAATGTAGTTGATCCATAAGTATTTGATGATATGAATGGAGATTTGAATTATGTTGTAGGCGGTTGATCAAATTCTTCAATCGTCCCAGGCATAATCCATAATTATTGCTTAATTTTTGTTTGAAGTCTTTCCATGGCCAACAAACCTGATATCTTCCACTCTGCTTGATGATGGTTCGTTTGAAACGCTTTAAGGCTTGATCGTCATCATCATCATCATGAGGTGATTCTTGAATACCAATCGTCTCTAACTTCCAAAAATTTTCTAGCTCCGAGTTAATATTGGCGTTTGTAGAATATACTATTTCTTTAGGACATAATTCGTTCTTGCAAAGTTTCTTAATATCTCCACTTCCAGCAATCATAGGACCAACTTTTGATTGAACCAACATATGCCCTGATTTTAATTCCTTGATTTCTCGTAGACTAATAAATTTGAAAAAATAATCAGCTCCAATGAATACGTCAGATTTTTTCCAATAATTTGTTAAATTTTGAATTTGAAGTTCATTCGATGTTTCCACTACCTGCAGTTCGTTCGTTAGATAATCAATTATATTTGCTTGTAATGGTATGATTTCGCTTCCTGTAGTATGCGAGCAGTGGGATATGATTTCGGTTCCTTCATACCAAATGGAATTATTCTCATAATTTGAGTTTCTGTTTCGGTTAACCTTAATTGACGTGATAATTTTTTGGAAATAAAGGAGAGTTGTGATCCGATGTCAAATAATGCCAAAGCATTTTATTGTAGTTGAGATAAAAGTCTTCAATGGATTGAAGACTTTTATCACCTTGCATAAGTAAAGTTTCTTTTGTCCCTTTGGATCGACTTGTAAATGTCGAGTTATAAAGAAAAGTTGAACAATTCCTTTCTTTCGAAGGTACGATTTTTTCTTGCTCTCCATTTCTTTGATACATTGTATTGTTTAAAGAAAGTGAATTCCTTTTATTACATAAAGCACTATTATGTGAGTTTTTGCAATAAAAACATTGTTTTTTGACATTACAATTCTGTCCTTTGTGACTGTCTCTAAGACAAATAGTACATTTCTCTAATACTTTGAGACGATTAAATCAAGCATTGAGAGTCGTGTAGTTCACGCAATCGCTGTTCCAATGATCTTGATTGCAGAATACATATGGTCGTCTTTTCGTTGTTGTAGTTTTCGAAGTATTTTGATTATCTTTTATTGTCGACAGTGCTGAAGTTCCTCCGGGATTATATCGTTGTTTTTGTTCCGGTTTGTTAGTTGTAGATTTAATATTGAGTTGAATGAGTGAATGTTACAGTTTCTAATCTGTTCATTCACATTAACTAAACTTGTTAAAAAGTTTCTTAGTTTGAGAATTGACCAAGGCATGTCCTTCTTCTTATGTTTATATATTTTATTTAATATCCATGATGGTAATTTGCTCTAGACCAAAATTTCGACATTTGAATGTTCCAGGCTTTCTCCTCTAACTGGCGTAACACTCTTTCTATGTTTTCAATAGTTCCAGTCCATGCTCGTTCATTTCTTTTATTTGATTGGAGTTCATTATTTAATAATATCGTTGCTATTGAGTGATCGCCATACTTTTCACTGACACTGTCGTCTTATAACTTCATAATTCTCCGGTGCTACATCGTATCCAGTTATTACTTGTAAGGCCTTTCCTTTGAGGCATAAGTACAAATAATTCAGTGGACTGCTGCGTTAAAACTGTCCAGAATTGTCGCCATTGTCTAGGGTCCCGTAGTTTGTAATTTTTTAGCACTTCTGATTCTCTGGCAATGAGTTCTTCCGGTTTATCTTACACTTTATCTTCCATGTCTTCAGAAACATCTATTTCCATATGATAAAGCATATTTACTGATTAAAATAAACGTAAAATCACATGAGTAATAAATAAGGAGTTAAATTTATGGTAACATGATTGATAACACAGTAAAATTGTTTAAATTAAAAAATGATTTATTTGTCGTGGAAGATTTGATCGTTTAATTATTAATTTTGGGAGAGGTTTTTGATCCCAGGGAGATTGGTTGGATGTAGGTGTAAATACGTGGGGTACCGGAGAAATAAACCAATTTCTTTATTAGCAGAAGTAATAAGACAATACGTTGATAGAGAACAATTGAAATTGAACTCGTCTGGTTCTTGGCAACAAATTACATATATATTAAGATCTTTTAACAAGGGTAATCCTTATATAGCAATTATATCTTACATTATATGTGTTAAGGTGTGGGAGTGGCTTATAATTAGACATTTTTGTACAAAAGATAAATTGTCTAGACATTATAGTGAGTAACTTTTACAATGGATATCATCAAAGAAAGTACAGTGGGTTGTCTAGACTATAATGAGTTGTCTAGACTATAATGAGTTGCAATGGACATTACATGATAGATGCTCATAGTACATGAATTGATATAAAATCATAAGTCAGTTAAACCATTACGATGATTTGTAAAAGAATCAATGGATTGCTATATAAAGCATTGTTAACATTTATTTAGTGCTTAGCGATGTTAAAATCCGCGACATTATTAGTTTTTCTTTAAATTAATTTTATTTGGTTAGAGTTTCGCGACACTCACAACTATGAAACAGTCAGTTCAACACCACATCAAATGAAGGATGAATTCTTTTGGCAAGAAATTTCTGAAGAAGGACAAGAAATTATTGAACAAATGGAAAAGGAATTCAACGAAATTGTTTTACAGATAGAAGAAGAATTTGAAAACGTGATAACACATTGGAAATTGATTTTTATCTGTATAATTATCTTGATAGTATTAACTATTTTAGTTATTCTTAAATGGAAATTTAAATCAGTCCAATCCCTATTCCCTAATACTCCAAAACGAAGTTCAAATCAAGCTACTATCATTACTCTCCCTATGGAATCACCACACACTCAATTCCTAACTAAAGAAGAAATCCCACTCATTAAACTCCACACATTTAACTATATACCTCAAAATCATTCTCTCAAGATAACATCTTAAAACAATTTCTCTCCCTCTTTATGTGTGTCGCGAATTATAATTTCGCGAAAACTTCTAACCAAAATAATAAGGTTAATATAAGAAAAACTAATCAATCATTTCTAATTGTCACCAATTTCATAATATTATAAAACTAGATTTAAAACCAATAAAAACTAATTAATCATTCTTTAATTGTAAACAACCCCATAATATCAATCTCTCCTTAAATCTCTCCTTAAATTTAGTTTCTTAAGATTTATTACTCATGTGATTTTAAGTAAAATTGTAAATTATCAATTCTTTATAAACACTTCCGATTCTTAACGCATATGATTTTTAAAAGGTTTATTAATATTACTGCTGTATTATACTTATTCGAGTATCAATCGACAAACCTTTCACGACAAAAAATTTATTGGTGCCACGAGCTGGGAAGCATGTCTAGCAACATTATTGCAAGCATTCAACCGGCTAAGGAAAGGTTAATCAATCTTCTTAAAGAAATAAATCAACTGGAGATCAAATCTCCAGAATCAAGTATGACAATAGAAGAAAAAGAAGATTTTGGTATAATAGGAAAAAGATTATTCGAAGATAAACTTCAAAGAATCCAATTATGCGTAACTACGCTTGAATCTATCAATGATAAATGGCTTACATATACTCAACAATGAAAAGAAGAGAAATGAAAAGAAGAGAAGAGGAGGAAAAATACAAAGCAGTAACAGAAGGCGACCAAAGAATATTTCACTTATTGCACGAAGGAAAGGAAGCGATAATAACACTAACCATGCACAAAGATGAAGCTGACCAAAAGTTAACGCGACTCTCAAAGGAGTTAACAAGCAAACAAGCAAAGGAAGAGGTAAAATTTACTCCTTCTTCAAATATTTCTTCAAGTATTAATGTAAATCTTCCCCATTTATCGCTCCCTGGAGACCCTAAACTGTCGCGAATTATAATTTCGCAAAAACTTCTAACCAATTTCATAATATCATAAATCATATCTCCTTTTTAAAATTGTAAACAATCTTACGGTTTCAAAAATCATTTCATAAATCTGGCTTCTTAAGATTTATTACTCATGTGATTTTAAGTAAAATTGTAAATTATCAATTCTTTATAAACACTTCCGATTCTTAACGCATATGATAAAAGACATGCCCAATTCCCACTCATATAAAATTCAGTCCTAAAAAACAAAATTATTATTGTCATTATTGTCGACTATTATTCTAATAACCAACCTCAATTTCCTCCGGTTTTTTAAATTCTCCTTTTATCGCTCAATTATTAATAATACGTTTTTGTAAAAATAAAGGTTTATTAATATTACTGCTGTATTGTACTTATTCGTGTATCAATCGACAAACCTTTCACGACATAAATTACCATCATTGATATTAAATAAAATATATAAGCAAAAGGAAAAAAAATATGCCTTAATCAATTCTCAAATTAAGAAACTTTTTAAGAAATTTAGTTAATGTGAATGAGCAAATTAGAAACTGCCAACATTCATTTACTTAGATCAATGTTAAACCTACAACTACCAGACCTGAGCAAAAACAACGATACAATTCCGGCTCGTGGCACCAAAAAATATTGTCATGAAAGGTTGTCGTTGGTTAAGGATATAGAAGAATTTGAAAGGCTTACTTCAATTGTAGAATAAGTTGTCCGTAAAGTTAAAGGTAGTTGGCGTCAGATACTCGAATATTTGTGATGCAGCAGTGAGATTAACGTACCTTTATTTTTTTGAAAAGCCGAAAATCTGAGCAGAAAAAATAGATTTAAAAATCGGAGGAAATTGAGATTGGTTATGAAGGTCGACAATATTAATCTTGTTTATCACTGTTATATTTATATGTGTAAGGATTGGGCGTGTTTACGACAAGACCATATGAGTTAGGAACTGGATGTGTTTATAGTAAAGGGTTAAGCATGCATATGATAAAATTACATATGTGAGGAATTGGAGGTATTTACATTAAGATCATATAAGGAATTTAAAGGAAGAGATTATGCTGAGAGATAATTTCACATAAAATCACATGAGTAATAAATCTTAAGGAGTCAAATTTATGGAGAGAATTTATGGAGAGATGATTTATGATATCGTAAGATCGTTTACAATGATTTATTAGTTTTCCTTTATATTAACCTTATTATTTTGGTTAGAGTTTTCGCAAAATTATAATTAGCGACAATCATCGTCCGATCCTAAACTCTACATAAAGGCATAGTAAAGTGAAACCAGAAGTATCTTAAGATGCCTAGATTCTGAGTACAATTCCTCTTAAAAGATAAAAGCAGAAAAAATGAACAAAATATGTTTCAAGAAAAATCACGACCTAATCTATCTTTCCAAAATTAATCCCTTTTCAGCCGAATGTCTTACCACCTAATCACAATGACTTTATGTTTTATTTCTTTTTGAATGATGTAATCATAGTAGATCCATAATCTTCCCACAAGAAATCCGAAATAATTATTTATCAAAAGCGAAAACTGACCACACATCACGTCATAGACGTTGCATAATTCAGAAACTGTAACGCTGGCATTGTCGTGAAACCTCAAACTTGGGTAATTAGACCTTTATTTAACATGAAGCAAATAATAGCGCTTTATACATATCGTACGGATGCTACACCGATTAACAAACGCGTAACGAAAGATATAATTATAAAACATTAAAATGATATCAAAACCACCCCAAAATGCAGAATGAACCACCGTATGGAGGACGATGGTTTATATGCAGAACTGAGCTGACCAGATATCCGACAGAGGATATTTAACTGATGTGAAACAAAAACTGCTAATAAAGGGTTTTGCTAACAAAGAGTTTTTGTTGTGTGAGGAAAACGAATCCGATAAGAGGAATTTGTTAGTTTTGGATATAATAATTTAAATATTTCGTCTTTCACGACAGGCATAATCGTACTGGACACGTTTCATCAACATCCCGATTCTCTTTTCAACAAAGTACAATTTGTAATAATGATCCTTCCACATTTCTTCCATTTCCAAGAAAACCTCGTTTGGCCCTATTTCTCACTGTTTCCGTGTTTTGTTTAATAATCGTTTGCGTGTCACACAAAGATACCTTTTATCCTTTGTTCCAGATCAGCTTTATGAATATCTTCTGTCAATCGATAGAAGTCCTTTAAGCGTTGTTAGAACGAAAAGCTTAAAGAATAATTTCCTAGACCTAAGGGATCCAGTTCTGGGACATAATGTTATGCATCATTTTGCTGCTTTTTCAGAAGCTTAACCGATGTGCTACCTTTATCGACTACAATTTGTGGTAGCTTCTCTACCGGTTAGTATCCAGCTGTATCCAAATGGATTTGCTGAACACATATTTTTCTGCCACTGATATAATATCCAACTTAGTTCACCTAAATAAATAAACTTGTTCAGCAATTAGTCTTATCGAAGGAAATTATCGATGAGGTGAAAAACTTCCCTGAACAGGAAAAGGTTCAAACTTTTGAGAATGAAATTTAGAACAAATTATTTGTTCAACTTATTTTAGTACTTTTCTCTTAAATAATGAGGTGGAAATTTCTATGCAGTAATATGCAGACAAACAGTGGAGAAATTGAATTAATTTTTGGTAGTTTAAAAATTTTGAATTCAAGAATTTAAAATAAATTCACCAGATATAATGAAATTAGAAATTTCCGACTTAAACAAGAAAAGAAAATCTTTTTTTTTTGTCTGGAAAGAAGTCTATCATAAAACTAAAAAGAATTAGTTCATAGTATCCAGATATGAGCATAATTTAATGTGATTACGCTATATATTAACTTTTAAATGAATTAATTGAAAAGTAAGTGGTAAGCAATGGAGAGATTAAGGAAAAAGCTTGCCTATCAACGAGATTAATCTATACAATATAATGGAATGGTAAGATAAATTTCAAAACTTAGTGAAGATGCATGAATGGAAAAAGGTTGTCATGCCTGGGGTGGACAGACTTGACAACTTAAGATGACAAGTAAGGTTTAAAGCCGTGAGATTTCTGCTTCAAATCTTCAGGATCATCTGCATGTTCATTCATGCATTAGTGCCTATAACTACTATATTTAGGTCTAACGGCATATTTACCTCACAGTATATCACAATTATTTCTAATTTCACAACCATCTGATGACACTAGTTTACTGCGATGCACAAACTAAGTCAAAATAAATTATCTCGAATAAAATTTCGAAACAGATTTTTCATCTTACTTTAGGAATTTAGATTAATTGCCGCCAATCTCACGCTGCATAATTTTGCGCAAGTAATCTTTTACACTTATTAAAATGCAAAAAACATAAACCAATCATTCGATGAAAATTTTTACATGGTCTTTGTCAAGTATTGTTAGGTGTTTCGCATTTTAATAAGTGTAAAATTTTAATAAGTCATCTGATAATAATCTTTTTGTAGATATAAAATCTTATTTTGATAGATATCAATCTTAAAAATTGGAACCAAAGATAATATCATATCACAAAACAGTTCTTATATCATATGGATGCTGTGCGATCGAAATTTTGGAATTATCTTTTGTAATTTTAATAGTAGCTTCCGTTGTATTGATTTTATACATAAATAAACCTTAAGCTGTTATGATGAATAACTGACAAAAATCCTCTAAACAATGACTTATAAAGTAATAAATGATAGCAATAAAAACATGTAAACAATGATTAGAAGTATGGGACAATAATTAGGCAAATGAAAAAAATAATAATTTGATCGCAGATCGATGATTTTTCCATGAAATAAGGAACAGAAAAATTGCCAGTCATTTAAAACTAAAAGTTCTTTAACTTAATTAAATTGAAACTGCGACAGATCATTGTGATGTCAAAAACAAGCAGTATATGAAAGGCAATATCAGACATATCAGAAATGTTTTTTTTTTTTGTAATGTTAATTTCGCGAAAAACTCTAACCAAAATAATAAGATTAATATAAAACTAATTAATCATTTTTAAATTGTAAACAATCTTACGGTATCATGAATTATCTCTCCTTAAATCTAGCTTCTTAAGATTCTTCACACACGTGGTTTTCATCTTAAATACGCTCAATTCTCACATTGTAAATTCTCAATTTTTTGTAAACATTTCCGATTCTTCACACATGTAATTTTTATCTCAGACACACCCAAATCTCACTCATATAAATTCAATTCTAATAAACAAAAGGTTCATTATGGTCATTATTGTCGACTATAAGCCCTCATAATAAACCTAAATTTCCTCCGATTTTATAAAGTTTATTTCTACTGCTCAAGTTACTGGTAATAATTTAAATAAAAATAAGGATTTATAAATCTCACTGCTGTTACACAAATATTCGAGTATCTGAAGACAAACCTTTTACAACAATGTAGTGTAACTTCATTTTACATTACATTACGCTGTGTAGAAATATGCAAAAGTGTCAATGAGTCATCGAAACAATCTTTTCCCTGACTATCTGCTTCCGATTTTTCATAATTAACAGACAATAAATAGCAGCAAAATGCTATTGAACACTACCTCCAGAACGAACCTATAAAATAAATGAGCAGCCCTTAGTGTTTTGTCTAAAGCATTAACAAGAACATCTGAAAGATTCACTTTGCCATTATAATTTATTTTTCTTAGTGTTCTGATGACGTGAAGTCACCTCATTAGTGCGTCTCAATCAATGAAGTGATATTTTACTTTGCCATCAGTGATGTGTGATTTTTAACAGTACAATACTGTTTCGTGCATCGTGCTCATTTAAAATCATGCTAACTTTTCTTTAATTTCCAGTGCACCGCGTTACTCTTTTATTAGTTACTAATTGATTCAAAATGTAACGTAACCAGAATTTGTTTATTTAATACAATTGATGAATAAAATTTAGAAAGTGACAGGAATCTGTGATTAGCAGATTGGTTTATGGTTTCTTTCACAATTATTTTTCCACAATACTTCGCTATTTGACCGTCGGCGCCAATGGTGCCGTTGAAACTCATCACCATAATGGAATTGCCTGTTTGCTGCTACGTGAAAATTTCGTTGTGCGCCACCACTTCTCCAGTAAGTTTGTCCCGATATTGGTCTAATTTCCTGTATTGGTTTAACCAATTGTTTTTTCTGTTGAAGCTGTAAAATCTTCGACTCTCTTTTTCGCTTGTACAAAGCTATGCAAATTATTTTATGTGTGAAAGATATAAATTTTTGAAGACTCTATGTGAAGTAGAACAAAAGATTGAAAAATGGTACAGTACAGGAAGAATACAGGTGAAAATTGAAGTGGTTATTACCTGTGATCTGAGTGTTTCTAACTTCCGCTGCATTCTACAACTATTCCTAGTTGTTTCTTGCATTTGCTTCTCTAAACTTTCCAAATTCTGTTCAATTTTGTTCTGGAACAATGTTACACGTAGCATTCGTTGATGATAACGGCATATATTTCGCAAATGAATTTCACTGTTTTCAAATTTCATCGTTTCTAACCGTTGTTCTAGTTTTTCAACATTTATCAGCAGTTCACACCGTATAATATCTTGATATTTCAGGAATTTACGCAAAAAACCCCGCAAATCAGCCAGTTGTTTCCTTTGTCGCTCTTGTAAACTCAGTACTTTTTCTTGCAATGCCTTTTGTTGCTCACATTCCTTTTCTAAATTCAAAACCTCTTCTTTACGCTTCATATAAGCCAACATTTCATTTCTTTCTTCATGAAGTAATTTATTGACAAGCTCCTTTATTCTGGTGTACGTTGCTTGGATCTGTTTTAACTTCGTTTGTAAGTACACAGTACGTCGATTTGTTGAGTCTTCTGATTTCTCGGAAATGTTCATTTCAGCAGCCAGTTTACTTTCCAGCATCTTCCATCTCTGTTCTCTTCTTGTTTGTTTCTCTTGGGACTGTTCCTCTTTGATCTTTTTCAGCAAATTTTCAGCAAAGTTCTGTTTCAAACATACATCGCTATCAGCAATCATTTTTGATAAGTTATCAACAAGTAGAAAGCCAGCTGCAGGTACTTTGTGTGGATTCTTTGAGTACATCTCCGTCTGCCATAAATGTAGTGACCATATGATATCGTCTGCAAAGTTCAAATGTCTCAATATTAAGGAATATTGGATACAATTTGAAAATATCTGTCCTGATGAACATGCAAATAAAGGTATTACACTTTTTACAGATGCGAAATCGACATCAACAAAAATCGATTCCAATTCTGTGAAATTCATTATGCAGAATACGCTAACCAGAGCTTTTCGTGAATAATGTTAACGACGGAATTGATTTTAATAGCATTCGAATTGATTCTCTTGTAAATACAAAAAATCGCAAATCTGATGGTTGCATCTATAATTTCATACATTGTGAGTTTTGATATTAAGTAAACATGATGAATTGATTTTGTTTCTACTATACATACTATACAGAATATTGATAACAATAAAATAATAAAAAATACTGCTATCTTTTTTGTAAGAATAAGAAGTGAAAGATATGAGATAAATATTCATGACATCTACGGCAAACATTGGAAGAAGAGATTTACCTCATGTATGTAAAGTTTTACGAGAGTGTTGTCCGTTGCTGCAAAATTACTCCCTTTCTGTAACATAACGGGCTTTTGTGATTGCTTTCGATGTTTGTTACGATGATAGTGTTTGTTATAATTTAGGCAGCTTATTGACCAAATTACTCTCATTTACAAAAAATATGAAACTTTTCTTTCCACCCTTCATTTTAAGCAAAATTTAAATAATAGAAGTAGGCAATACCAGTGTTTGTGGTACATTGCAATTACTGAAAAGCGTGTACTGTTGAGAGCCAACTCTACTCGCGTAGGAGTCAGAATTTTTTCGCAGCAAAGCAAAGCTAAAGGAATTTAATTAGCTTTTGAGAGAAATGCGCAAAATAGAAAGTGGATAATAGTATCAGTGTCAATAACAACACTTATAAAGTTGCTGAAAAGTTTTCTTTTGTAAATTTTATGCCCTACAAATAGGAATCGCTTACATGCTGCATGAATTCAAAATTCTTGTGTAGAAATGTCTAACTCAAATAAAAATTTTCCATTCCTACTTCTTGCCGCAATATATCTAATTGCTTACACTATATCTCCCAAAATGCCACAGAGAATAAGACGCCCGCGTATTATAATAATGGCAATATTCGGCATTTCCTCTTTTTGCTTTCTACACACTTGAAAAGATAGTCGTTCAATTGAGGTCAGTATTGTACCGAGAAGGCTGGCCAGCTGAACTATCCATGTAAGAATTGTTTTCCCATGAATTCATGTAGAATAAACAAAAATGTTAACACTATCACAGATAATGTTCGTTATGATAGACATATGAAATAAACACATTATTCGTATCATTTGTGACCGTATACACTGTAAATGATGAAGTGGTGGTGATCTTGGACGTGTAGCTCAATCTCAGTGATTGCAAAGTTCTACGATTGTAAGATGAAAAGCAAAAAAAAAACTATTCGAAAAAGTGTATTTTTCTCAACCAATTAGACGATTTTTTCAAGTTTGGCGATAAAGAATACGCAAGCTACTGAATAATTATCGTTATAAACGGTTGAAGAGAAAATATGATGGAAACTTGAACAGATTCAAACAATTTTTTAGCAGGTTAAGGACCTGAGCATCATTTCCAACATTGTTAATAGGGTGCTCGCCAAATGACCGATCAAAAGGTAAAATTTTGGCACGAATGTGCTCGACTAGCATTTCTGCTTTAATTTTCTGCATAGAACTTTCCACTATCGCATATAATCTCACAGCTACACCTAATCGTTCGTCCCTACAAATTAACCGTTTTAAGAAAATAGAAATTTTCACATCAACATGCAGAAACGTCATTTCTACATATCTGAATACTAACGCTTTGGTTTCGACGAAATTTTAAATTGAATTCAGTCTCACAACTTACACATCAGAAATATATCGCACATCAGGACTCTTACTCATTTCATTCTCAGTGAATAGTTGTGGACCCTAAATAGAAAAAAATATGGGTAACAGATAAACCGACTTTTACAAATTCCATATTTTTCTTATCGAAAAAAATTTTATTGCTTTCTTTTTCTGAACTGCATGAAATACCAAACATAGACTATTGTTTAGACGATTAAAAAGAAATATATATATATATATATATATTAATGACATAACTTATGGAATCAAGGGGATCAGTTTACAGCTTATATTTCATATTTTAGTTTGCAGTAAAGAAAAAAAAATGTGCTATTAAGAGGAGAAAAGTTATATTATACTAGCATCTGCGTCTGATAATTGAACATGTAAAACAATAAAAGTAAACAAGGAAATCGGTTCATCTTTATTATGTGATATGTAGGAAGCAAATAAGCGTGAAAATTTAGGTGTTAAATATTTGCATTTTCTTGGGAAAATTTAACCGATCCGTTAAAAAAGAAGTTAGGCAAACCTGCAAAGGACAGTAAGCGGCATAAGTACATTTTCGGTATTTTATTGAAGATGTTAGCATTATTGGCTATCCACCACGGTTCGAAGTTTTCTGTTGTAAAAATTGCAACAGAATACAAGGGTAAATGTAAATTTAAGGGACAAACATAAATATTGCTGTATGACTTGCAAACTACCTTAAAGTATTGAGAAATTTCTTGGAATCTCCAAAGTTACTTCTCCAGAAAAATCTAGCTTTTTTAAACTAGAATGAATACTCTCAAACGAAGCACAACGAAATATTCAAAGATCACAGCAATTCTGTTGAAGAAGTAATCCACAATATGGTAGGAACAACCTATCAGTAATTTTGATGTTACTAAAAATGACTTCATCGTAATAAATACACCTATTTTAAAGAGAAAAAAGTTTCATTCATTTCATTTGCTCCTTCCCACTTGATATCAGCAGCATTTTCTAGTACCAATCAAGAAAGTCCATTTCTTGAAGACTTCATAAATTTCAAAGATTATCTCAAGAAAACTGTGATGAATAAAAACTGAAGAAAAAAGTTAGGTACATTCCAATCGATTCCAAAAGTTGAAACTCAACAAACCTATGACAGGTTGACTCTTCCAAAACGGCTACAATCCATTAATTTAAGAAACAGTATGTTTGCTACCTAATGAAGTTATTACATTTGAAAATGTAATAGCTTCATTAAAGATCTTTAAGCAGCTTACTTTTCATTATCTTTTATTATACATGAGTAAATTTCTTTGTTAACGCACTATACTGACTGCTCCAATATTTTCACTATATTCTTCCGTACATCTTTGAAATTTTTCGTCATATTTTTGCATATACTCTATCCACTACAGTAGTGCAACAAATAGTGACCAATAATAAGAAAGATCAGTGATGGAAAGGATTACAAGCCTTGCCCAATTATCATAATATGCCCACAGCAAACCTTGCACCATCCCTTCTCGGACTAACATTCCTCATGCACTTAGGTCATTCGAATTTCCTTATCGCGGGTTTGGAGACACGAAGCCAACAGCTGACGAAAAGTGAAATATCTCTTCCATCATGTGGTGGTTGATTTGTTGTTGTCGTTTGTAATCTAATGGTAATGTGTAGTGGATCCGTGAGGGTTGAACTCTTAAAACACATCGAAGCGAGTTCTCGACATCGTCTATGACATCTCAGTGACAAATTATTTATCATTTAACCGCGCTGGTTCTTGTGCATAATTTGTACTTGTAGCTTGTACGAGTTATACTTCAGTTTTATCCGATTTCATGTGTCTTTAATGCCACAAATTCAGGATGAATAGTATATTCGGTCTGTTTATCACTGCTTAGCATCTCAGATGACGTTTATCTTTCCCGTACAATATTTGTGAGCACTAGTAGAGGTTCGTAGACTGAATCTAATTTTATTTGGTCAAGATTTTGATTAGCCAATGTTGACATCCGTTACAATTGATTATTACGGTTAAGCAGTGATTCGTAATACTTTGAGTATGTATCTATCAAAGATATTGCTTTTCTTTTTTACAAGAGTAAAGTGGTGATCTAATGATATTGCTACTTGGATAACGGTGGGTTGGGAATTCCATTCCGTTATGCCTAGTAAGTGCATTTATTTTTATTAGGTTTTTTTTTCATTTATATTGTACTCTTAAAATAGAGAAAATGGTGCCTCTAAAGCGACCGAAGTAATTTCCCCACATCCTAACACACATAAATACTAGCTCTACTTTAGATATGTGATCAGGAACCAGTAGTTTTTTTTTCTTTTTCTAAATGACAATCGAGAAATTAAAATTCCATTGCTATTCTTACCACCAATCGATTCAAGCTAAACAATATTTTGAATGATCTGTTGCAAGGATTTGTTGGATTAATTAGTGATATAGGTGCTTTCTTTGGTCAGAAAACATAACTGTCATATGTTAGCAACTTTCTCTCTCTTTTTTTCCTTTTTTTTTTTTTTTTTGCAGCCAACAATCGCGATTATTGGGGGAATAGATGTGGAAAAGATCTGTAAATTAGCCATGACAAGTATTATCAAGAATCAAATTATCAAGCACCTTTCAAAGTAATATCTGAATGTTTTTTTTTTTTTTTTTTTCATAAGCTTTTTTACTGTTTTGTAAACTTTCCTGAGTATACGTTTTGAAAGAAATGCATTGCACAAAACGATGTGTTACTTTCAACTAAATTTCAGATTTGTTCGCAATATTACAGCCGATCAAATCAGCGTGCAGATTTTGAGTGGTAAAGGAGAACTAAAGAACATCGAATTAAACGAACTAGTCCTAAGTGAAGTTAGTTTTTTTTTTTTTTTTAAGAGAATATTTTTTATATTTGCTTCATGTATTCATTCTAAAATATTTTCCCCGAAATGCAAAAATAACTTCTTTTTTCTAATATTTGTTTGTTGAATAAATTTAAGGCTTAAATTAATAAAATTATATGAAATATGACAGGTAGATACTTATCCAGTAGGATTATCCGTTACACCTTTATCAACCGTAAGCGCTCACTTTCAGCTTCGCATCGATGGTTCCACGTAAAAATTCACCTATAGCAGTTCGTTTCATAATATAAAATTCATCTTCAACAAAATATTGTATATTTATATAATATAAATATATTTTTGTATATACCTCTTTTCAGGTACTTGAATTACCAACATGGCTACGAGTTAAGCGAGCAGTTTGCAATAGAATAGCTGTTAAAGTTCCATGGACGAAGTTGAAGTCACAACCAGTTAAACTAGTAACTTTTCGTTTTGCATTTGAAAAATAGAATTGGGCAAAGAAAAAATTTCCATCAATGCGGATGTTTTTAGCTGAAATTAATAAACGAAACCTTTGTAAGTGCAAACTTCGCGAATATCTTAGTCTATCTTAGTCTCAATAGCACTATAAGGGCTAATAGAAAATATACCATGAGCATGAAGATATAACGGCTGTCATGAAATCATAATTCTTTTAAACATTGGGTGTTAATTCAATTATTTTGACCATATTTGAGACAAAACAGCTGCATGCAACTAAAATCTTTCCATCCCAAAAATATTACTTTGAAGTATTTCGTCTTTCATTCTACTGTAGTTTCTGTTTTCAGTTTATTGATGAAGTACGGGTAGAGGTCGAGCTTAGTTCAGATGAATTTGTTGACTGTGACTCAAATTCTTTGAGGTATATTTCTTCACCGCCATGATTTGCATACTTAATTTTGAAATAAAATACTCTGAATGATTATTGAAGATTAAAAATATTATTTCAGTGCTTTTGGAGACTCAACATACGGATTTGCTAATCGAGTTGCGGAATTGATGTCACTTTATGTTAATTCAGTGGAGATTGATTTCGATTCTGGTGTTTTTCGTGGTTCTCTAACGGTATGTTTCTGAATGCTATATTCATTCCCTTAATGATTTTATTTCCACGGTTTTTTTAGTGATGCTGGAGTTTTTTCCATGAAATCTTTTCAGCTCTCGAGACTGGCGGTTGAAAGTAAGAGCCCGACCTGGCAAACAGTCAATGATTTGCGATATACTCGACTTGTAGATACGAATACTAGCAAATTACTTATGTTTAAAATGGTCTATTTTTCGAAACATTTCGTGACATTGTTTAATAATTTTCCATTTTACGATTTATGAAGACCATAAAGTCTTGCCAATTTGCCATTGGTTTAAATGTCTTGACTCTACTGTGTAGCTGTTAGTCAGTACAATGTTTCATAAAACGGTCCTTTCTCAGGTTACATGGCAGTTATTACGTATCGAAGCATCTGCACAAGCTAATTCATCGTGTAATGCTATAAATGCTCCATTAAGATTGATTACTAGCAATGGAAAGAGTAGAATCAGTGTGAAAAAGTCCACTGCTGGTATGAATTTACCGAAATTTACATCTAACAGGCATTAAAACAACATCTATAGTAGTGTATTACTACTACACTACTATAGTGTAGTAGTAATACACTCCTTGGTTGTATTGCATTAAGCTGCTTTATTAAGTTAATAGGAAAATTAAAAGTCCTTTTTAGATGGTAGCGTTCTTGGTGGTCGTATACAGTTAATATTAGACGATATTTTGTGGATTGCTACTTTACCGCAAATACGATCTGCTATCACATTTTACGATCATATCATGAATATAATCAAAGCAGCTTCCAAGAAAGTACCAACGTTATACCACAGAGAGGTTGAACATTTGTATAGGTTTTTTTTTTTGTTTTTTATGTCATTGTTAAGGGCGAAATTCATGTTGTACATCGTACTTCTTTTGCTGTTCCTTCAGTTTTGCAATATTATTCATTTATTATTAAAGTGCATCGAAATAAAACCGCCAGTGGTCAAATCGCCTCCTTCGATTCCGGTTTCAGCCATATTTCGCAATTTCGATTTTGATCGAACATCGTACCATGTTTATGTTGGCAAAATTGATCTTCATCTCTGTGATGATAATCAAACCTCGGATGGTATTGATTTTTTCCGTTTTAGTTTTTATATTTATATGAATTTTTTTTTTCATTCGAAACTTGTGTCTAGCATTATTCTGCGTTGTTCAGTAACTTCTAAAATCCAAGTGGTGCAAAGTTTTGACACAGATTTAAATTAAATTTTGCTCTTTTTTACATTTTTGTTTGATTTTGGACTTTACATTTCGGTTAATTTAAATCCATCTTTTAGCTTTTTCTTATTAATTTTGTGAACTAAAGCAAGTTTCCAGGTTATCCTGAAGATTGGGATATTATTTGTGGTGCACTACAGGTAACCTTATTGCGCCTGTCCGTTGATTTTTATCCAGCTAACAACGCTATATCTGATCGTAGTGATTGGATTCGATATGATAACACAAATCATTGTGCTACCTGGGTCCACAAAATATTACAGTTCCACCTGCGGAAGCTTTGCACTGAATTAGGTTTGGGTTATTAAGTTTTTGATTACAGTCATTTGGCTCACTCTTGTTTCAAATTTTGATTTCCACTTGCGTTTTTACATTTTCATTTTCCTTTGCAGATGCTAGTGCACAATCTCGAATAGTTGATTTGTGGCCAGAGTTAATGTCTCAGAATTGTGTGATACGAATGTATGATATTATTGTCCAGTGTGTGACGGATATGAATTCCAAAAAGGAAGCATTGTTTAATCTGTTCATGTCGGATCGTAAATTAAGCATCGCAGCACAAGGCGGTTGTCCTGTTTTCCATCTCGAGTTTACTTCTTTTTACCACCCAACATGTGAAAATTTCCCAGGCAATAGCTTTTATTCATTTTAATTGAAGTGTTTACAGTATTACTGTTTAATTAGATGCTATTTTGACCAACTGATTTTCAGTGCCCTCAAACATCACACATCTTTTACTTGGTCCATTTTTTTTCGTAATCGATCAAAGAACGATTCGATGGCTCTTATTCATAATCGATGATATTAAATATGCTTTAGTAAGTTTACGATTTATCTCTTATCTTTTTAAATTACACTGATTTTCAAAGTATAGTTTATTTAGACAAAATTATATTTTTCAGCAAATCTCTAGCATAATGCCTGATGCCTCAAAGATACCCAAAACCTATCTGCGCATCAATTTATTTATGCCCAAGGTATATACAAAGAAAATGAATCGATTACTTCATCAGAAATAATGATTTTATCGGTCTTTTTTTTGATCTTTGGTCTGTTGAAGTTGAAAGCTAAAAGAAGACGATTTTTGATAAGTACTTTGCTGTAAAACACAACCAGAAATTTTATCTTTAACAAATTCGTTGTTCTATTTTCAATCATTTTTTTTTATGTGAAAGTAAAGTAAAGAGTTTTTAAATCAGGTAAAATTCCAGATAATAATACCATTAAAAGACTCGTTTGTATCTGATACGCGTTTCGCACGCAGAATTGTGGTAAGCATGAGCACTTTGCTGGCTACTAATTACGAAACAGTTTCCGGTGACGAGTCAAATTCGTTTTTTAAGTCGATTTCATCAAATGTAATTGATTTCATCGACCATGTTGGCCTTCTGGTTAGCAATGAGAAATTGAAAGAATTCATCTTACAGTTGAATCAAAATTCGTGTGAGAATGTTGATGAAGGTAACAACTATTTATTATTTTGTGCTATATGTGTACTATTTGTTATCTTCGCCACTTTAAAAACCCCAGTGCAAAACAACGGCTTTCAGACTTCAGAAAGTCCGCCAATATA